GGTTGGTGCTTTTATCAGTGGGTGTACTCCTATTGATGGTGGAAGTGGAGATCTTGGGGGGCCGCAGGAAGAATAATTTCCTGAGGGAGGATGAGGTATTGTGGAAAGCTTTATTGATGAAATAACGTTAAGGGAGTTCCCCCTCCAAGACGCCATCTCACTCAGTCCTGCCATGGAAAATCTCCCATTTTGTCTTCAGCAGGCTAGGATTAAAACCACTACCCAAAGTCTTTGCTCCATGTTAAAGCCCAGTTCAGTCCAGCATCAGGCTAGCTTAGCTTGTGTTCCCACTGCAGTCCATCGCTTCCAGGATCACATGCAAGCTGGCCTGAGGTACGGAATGAGTAAGTGCCGGGAAGCAGGAGTGAAGCAAGAGGAACAAAAGAGCAAGTTTCTTTGGGGATTTTAACTAGAAACTTAACCAATGAATCTTTCAGGATTTCACACGCTTGCAGTGGCTCCATCCCTCTAACCAATCCATGCTAGACTGACTGGCAAGCATCTTCCCTATCACCCTGACTTCACTGCGCATGTGCCCATCTGTTGGAATCCTTTCCCCAGTGACCTGCAAGGAGTGGACCAGGGGTTTCCTGGGAAGCATGAAGTTCCTGCTTCCTGGTGAAGTTGCCCAGATGATCATGCCCTTTGCTTTCTTCCTATTATTAATAACTAGCTAGTTAAGATGGTAACAGTGCCACCCCAAAGAACATACTTTACAATCACTGGTCCAGATGGGATCTCTTTTTTGGCAAGGCGGCTAATCATAGATGAGGAGTCCTTGTGGACACATGAAATACTGAGTGTGCTAAAGGATCACAACAGTAGAACGATAGTTTGGGATGAGTTGCAAACTTTCTTCAAAGAGTTTCTCTCCCTAAGAGTGAAGAGATATTTAAAGTGATTTGTTTTTATTTCTGTTGTTTGCTTCTTCTTTACATACCATTTTTCCACATATATAGTGAAATTGGAAAGGAAAATGTGTAGCCAAAAGCCAAATTGACATTCTAAAACACGAAGTCAGTGTAGGACATAGAATCAGAAGTTAGCATGTTATTCGATTATTAGCTATATCAACCACATCATTAGATATACATCTGATATTTTAACTGGATGATGTTATATAAGGATATTATTTTTTTATATATAACATATCTTGGAAGTGTCAATGTAAGAAATGTCCAAACCTGTAAGAATTTTTATGAGTTTATTTACACCAAACTGATGACAATTGCCAGAAAGCAAAATCTCAGCAGATTGAGAAAATGCACCTTGTTTTATACACTGAAAGCAAAGTGGGGAGGGGGGAAGTATTCCTGGGATTGGATAAAAGGTAAAACATTTGTGGGTATAGGATAGTTAACAGTCAATAATTAGCATGATAATAATAACAATGAGGGCATTTATGGTCTCTGCTCTGGCTTGGTGGTTGTGCTTTGAGGGGTCCAGAAAAAAGGAAATTACTTTGATATTCCAAAGTTACTGTTAACAAATATGTTATCTTAGTTGCAAAAAAAAAAAAAAAGAAGACAGGCTCAGTTAAAGATTGGCCTTTGTTAGGGAAAAATACCCACGTAGGACATGGCTACCAGCTAAGAACTGCTTTTAGTTAGGAGGTTTCACTTTCAGACCATTTGTGTCCTTACTTTAGGTCTGGAGTTTGTAAGACACCATTAGGCCTCGCCTGAGCTTGTCAGGTTTATTATGTGGCCCCTTTTTCGTCCACAGAAGTTATGAATTGCACTGAATCTATTAAAAATTACTGGGTCAAAAATTGCAACTTCTTTAATTATATAAATAATTATTAACAAGTCATTTCAATAGAAACATTGTTCATTAGGGAATTTCAATATCTACTTATTAGATAGAAATGGACCTTTTGTCATTCAAGTATGAAAATAATTAATAATTACATTTAAATTTTTTATTTTAATTTGGCCATAAATTTTCAGTGCCGAGTAAATTGCATGATCCTCTTTTTAATTAACATTTTATGTTCTAAAGCTTTGAGGGGAAAAGTGTATTTAGATTTCTTTAAAAATATAACGTGTGTTTTGCTACAACCTTCAACTCCTATCCCCCAAGCATAGTAAGGATTTTCAAGGGCACCAAATCTTTGACATAGCTGGATTTCTGACAAAAATCTATCCCAAAGGGACATTATTTGGGAATACAATTTAAAATTTCATATCATCTCTTACTTTTGGGTCATTACATAAAAATATTGAATAATTTGAAAACTTACTTTTTATTTTGTATTCAGTATGGAGAGTTATCCCCAGAGTGGGGCTTTTCTGATGCAAAATTGGAATGCTCATGTAGTCACAACAGCTGTCCCCACACCATGTGGTATCTTCCATTACTTTACTAAAGAGATGAATTTTTGGCCCAGTGTCTCGGTAATAATGGACACACATGGTTTTACGTGGCAAAGCCGTATGCTTATGCATTCATTTGACTTTCACAGCTCCAGTTGGCTCCAGATTAGAACAAGGAGAATACATTCACACCATGGCCACCCTCATAGCTGCCTTAGTGGCTGGGTCACAGTAGGCTCTATTGCTTCTAAAGACACAGCTAACTATTGCTGAGGAATTGCACATTCACCAAAGAGAGAATAATGACTCGCTGAAAGTATTCTCTCTCAAAGGTTTCAGATTATGGTCCTAATTATTATTGATCTCTTTTTATTAATAAAAATCATGGCCATAAAATAACTACGAAACTAAAAAAGATTGTTCTAGCAGTTGATAATTTATCAGGATATCAGTCCAAATATTTGATTTAATTCTTTTCCTTCCCAGAAAAAGTGGCACCATACTTTTAGACTCATTTTATTAACGGGATTTAATAAAATTTTTAAAGCCCATTGCTCATATATGCAGCATATTTGGAAAACCATTCTCATAAAAATAGAAATTATTTTAATGAATTAGTTTACTATGTGAAACAATACCTATATATTATTGACATTTTAAACAATTTTGTTTGCTCCAAACATAGTTGTTATAATTAATCAGAAGTAAATGTAAGATGATTTTATTTAGTGTGAAATTGCATTGATATACTATATAGTTTGAATACTATAATCTCTGCAGTGTCAACTTAATGCTCTTTTTGGTATAACTCTATACTATAAGCTTATATTTAAATTCTTAACTCTTTAGCATTTCTGAAATCAACTGGTACAGTTATTTTAAAGTTTTTATATTTTAGCATTAAAAATATGCTTTCCTTGAAAAATCCAGTTATGTCCCTCTGAATAATACTTTTTCCCCTAAACAAAGTAAAACCAAGCAGAAAAGAAAGAAAACATTCAGTGTAAAATTTTAATTACCTGATATGGAAAATTAGATTTCTGATATCATTAAATATCAAAGAAATTTCAACCATACCGAATGTAGGCTACTTTTTTATGTGAATTTATGCATGGATCTTAAGGGTTGTACTGATGAATATGTTCGAGGCTTTCAGCTTTTAGTGGATACAAAATAGAATGATTGATAAAATCCTCCCTACTATTGGCTATTATTTACTGACTCTTAAGTGGCAGGTTGTATTTATGCCAATTTATCTGCTTCAGGGAACATTCTTGATAGCAGAACAAAGTGAATAAAAGTAGTTTGCTTTGCAAATGAATGCAAATGGGAGCGCCTTTGGGAAAGCCCTTTAACAGGGCAGTGCACTCTGATTATGAGTGAAGCTGCCATTTGGACTTGGTGAAAAGAGCACGCTTGAACCATTGATTGGGGGAGACAGTAAAAAGTCAGGAAGGGCCCCGTTAAGCTTGCAGTGAGGCAGGCGGATGTCAGTGTGGTTAGAACACAGTGGGAGAATGACAGGGAGGATTAGTGTCAGGGAGAAGCTTTGCTGTAGCTGTGGAGATAGTCCCTGGGGTCACTCACCTCTGACTGTGGTTCTGTGCTGATGGTTCTGTAATGCAAACGCCCTGATGTATGCCTGTTCATTATCGGAAATGGTGATTAGAAAAGGTATTTGTCTCAAAGGTTTCCTTCTTTCGTTTTTTTCTTTCTTTATAATTAAAGAAAAATAAAGTGGGCTTCCTCCATCTTGCTGCTGACTCCTAGAGAATTGTTTAATACCAGAGTGGTTACTGCCCTTGGTAGGGAATAGTTTAATGCTAAAATGTAATGTGAAATAATTGTAACATGTTTGTTTGTTATTTGATAATAGTTTTTTTGCTTTGCTCAGCTTTGGGTTTGACCAAGTGGTCGTGCTGAATAAAATGCAGAGAATGTGCTTGAATGTTTGCTTTTGCAAAATAAAAAATCTGTAATATTTCAAGGTATTTTATTATTCAAATTAATAATTTGATTAATTTTTAGGAGCTGTTTACCTTCTCAAAAATGAAATGTTGCTTTGCACAGACTTGATGGTTTAAGTGTTGGTCCCATGAGTTTCTAATTCTATTTCTGCTTCCAAATTTTATAAAATGGTAACATTTGATAAGTTAAACTTTTTGAAAATACATGATTTTTAGAATATTGTTACTTAGAATGAACAAAATAGATCTTTGTCTCAATTATGATTCTTGATCTCTACATTTACTTGTTGACATTTTCATTTATGCTTATACTTGAAAGAAAGCAATAAAAACATTTTTTTTAACTTTAAAGTATAGTGACTATATATGAGGCATTTGTAAGCAGCAGTGACAACAATGCATTTCATAGGCTTTGTGAATGGTTTCTCACTAATGCAGAACTGACTTACCTTTTTTTTTTTTTTTCAAATTTCTTCAAAAGCCTGACTTCACAATATTTCTGCTTTTTTATTTGGTATACATAGGAAAATGTAAAAGGCTGCTGGAGCTTTGCATCCTAATGTTAAACATGCAACCCAAACCTCTATCTGAACTATTAGATACATTGTGATATTATTGTTTTTGCAGGAAGCATATTGCCAATAGTTCGTTTCACAGGTTTATTAAATGTATTAGCAAACATTCTTTAAATTGTCTTTTATCCCTTAATATTTTGCAGGCACCTGAATGGACAGAAGAGGACCTCAGCCAGCTGACAAGAAGTATGGTTAAGTTCCCAGGAGGGACCCCAGGTCGATGGGAAAAGATTGCTCACGAATTGGGTCGATCGGTGACAGATGTGAGTTCACTCAGATTTGCATTGTATGGAGAGTGAAAATCCAGAAAAGCAAACTATGTAGAAGGTAGACATAAATGCCTCCACCATTCTCTTTGGAGAAAGGCTACAACCCTTTTAGGACCTGGAAGTGAACTATTAACGAAATAGGCAAGAAGCAGATTTCAGCCAGTCCCATGATCCACAGTTAGCAACTGTTTAAGGAATTCTAGTGTTTAGAGACTTAAGCTAGTTTTGTATTTAGAGTGACTCCTTCAGCTTTGGGGAGAAAAATAGCTCTCAGACTTATCAGAATTAGAAAAGTTATAGTTCATAAAAAGGGGAAAAAAATAAAAAGAGAAGTTTTATTACAGCTGGATCTTTTTAACGCTGGAATTATACACATTCCTTGGTGTAGATATTTAGACAGGTGGTTTGCATTAATTAAATCAACAGTATCCCTATGTTTGTTTTTATCTTAAGGATGATGCCTACCATCTATTTTGACAAGTTGTTTAAAACCCTTCCCTCCTCTTTCCCCCCACCAAAAAAAAATGCACACACACGTAATATGACAAGCTATACCTGGCATTTAAAAAAAACAAAGTATTTACCTGGACAGTGTTAGATTTATCACTTTGGGTACTTTTATTGAGGAAATTTAAGGCAGAGAATCTTATTAAGACATCTACCACAGTGCCGGACAAGTACTACGCAGTAAATGTTTACTTGATATTGAAAGAAATTTTTATTTTCATCAGTGTGATCCTTATTTTTACAAATAATAGTAAGTAGTCTTTACTAAAGTTCTTTACTGAATTTATTTAAATTATCTACTTTAAATAAATCCTGTAGATCTAAAATATTTATGAGGTTACTGAAAGCAAAGATTCAAATGTCCTCAATTCCATTAGTAAATGGTGGACCTTTTCTGATAATGAACAATTTAAAAACCTGAAAAATGATTGATAAGCACAACCACCAAACAGAAAAGCTTGTTACATAAAATGCTGTTACCTTTTTGTAGTAAATTACAATCTTTTAATTTAAAACAAACTTATAGAACATATTACTGTCAATTTTTAAATAGTTCTTTAAGAGTTTTAAATTAATAAATATAGGAATGTTTTTAATGCCATATAAATCTTTTTAAAATCACTCTTAAAATATTGTTAAGATGTTTTTTATTATTTTGGCTTCAGAGTTAAAGTCTGATCATGTGGAAAAATAGTTCTTATATCTTGTAACATTTTTTCCCCTGTGTTTCATGAGGAGACCAGTTATCTTAGGTGACTGGGAAAGAACCATGAGGATACACATTAAGTACTATGACCCTCTAGTTATACAACTGTATACTGTTAATATAATGATTAACGAAAATTACTAAAACAATTTTCAAAAGGTTATCAAACCAATATTGGCTTAATAGGACTCAAATTTTTATTTAATTGCCAAATGAGAAATAATAGTTCACTAATTTAGTGTCTCTTTTGAAGACAGCTTTTAACTTTTTAAATAATATTTCTTTGAGGCCTTACAGTTAATAATGCCAAAGGCAGATAGGATATTGAGTAGAGCAGTATTTTACATTAATTTATCATTATCATGTGCTTAAATTTTTAATCTATATTTTTTTTAAGAGGAGAGAAATGAAAGTTTAAATGCTAAGAATATACATGATGTAACCAACAGAGCCTTGAGATGGCTAGTTAGTATCATAGATCTAAACATAATTTAAAGAGTTGTTTTAGTGCAACAGTCCCCGGATAAGCAAAGACACCTTTTCAAACTTTCGCAAATTCATTCCAGGTGTTTCAAATTTTTTTCTTCTAGAAAACTGCCAGTTTTCTCTTTGCCAAAACTGAAGGGAGACTAATCCCTTGTCTGTAATAGATATTCCTGCTCTTACTGTAGTCAGATATGACTTCTTGAGATTTTTTTTCCTCCAACTATTAGTTCTATTTTCATAATGCTAGCAGTTCCTTATAGATCAGTATTTAGTGTACCGAAATGCCATTGTAACTTTTCTTCTGTGTCAGTTATAGAGACTCACTGTATTTTCATTCTGTGAGCATCATCTCCATAGTTGGCCTGTACATTTCATTTCACTAACTACACACACACCTATAAATTACTCTTTAAAAGAGAACAGGTGTCTGAAGACTCATAATTCATTTTAGTGAACACACAGTAAATTCCATTGAAGCAGCTGAAATGGGTTTGGCTAATACAGGTGCCTTTACTAGAATGTTAACTAAAAGTTAACCACACATTACAAGATCACTTTTTGGCTTATGGTGTTAATTAGATTTGTTTTCATTAAGTGTTTGATTATGAAAAAGAAGGCAAGTTCAGTCTGCTGTCCTTGAAACCTCTGCATACTGACCTGATCACCTGTGCCAGTTCTCCCCTGCTCTGCACATCTGGTTTTTGACCTGTTTTCCTTGCTAAATTTGTAGCTTCAGGGTTTGTTCTCTTTCCTTTGAGAAACAATTGACCTTTTTCAGGGAGGGGTGAGAGTGTAGCCCTGGTGGGATCTTTATAGTCTTGATTTAGGTTGACAGATTACAATGAAAAATGCATTTAATTCCTCAATTAAGAAAGGAGTTTTCAGTGTATTAATTGTCATAATTAATGACAATTGCTAAATTTTACTCCAGGTAAATACAAGCAATATTATTAGCATTGTAAAACATGAATGCAAAGTATATTTTAACTCAGATATACCTAAACTATAAGACCTATTTTATTATATACCAAATCTTTTAAATGTTAATATATGCCTTTCAGCAAATAACTCATAACCCCAAAGAGCACTCCACTTGTAAAAACAACAGGAAACAAAAGCTGTCTGGCATGTAAAGCCAACTTTAATGTGATTATTAACTGCAGATTTTCTAAGTTAAGGTCAGGGAGCCTCAGATTTCTTGCCCGTGAGGTAGTATCATTCTCTAGCCTGAAAGGATGTAAACTGATTCTGCTTCTCTCCGTGGTCACTAATCTCTTACGTTCTGGTTGTGATAACAGACTGATTGGAGATTTTCTGCCTGCTTGGAAAAGACCCAGTTAGGCAGCAAAACAAAAGACAGGTGGGTAGATTTAAACAGACTTTTATAATTACCTTAGTACCACAGTGAGAGGTAAGATGTGTGTAGTTAGATAAGTGTCCCCATATGAGAGGGAAAATAATAAAATTCTCAATTTTACCTTCTATCACTATAACAGAGAGATAAAGGAGATGCCTACTGGGGGGACTTTATGTGCTATGGCAGTTGTTTCAAAAATATATCTGGATTATTCAATAGAAAATAAACTTTATGGTTTATCAGTGAACTAAATATGTAGTAATTATTTTGGCAAATATGTTGCTATAACTTCTTAGAGTCAGACTAGTCCTACACAAGTTGTAAAGATGACAAGGTTAGTATTTTTAATTTTCTGTCTTCATTCACCCTTGCTATCTTCTTAACCAGGTTTCTTGCTCTAGTAGCTCTCTGGCCCTCAGCCTGATCGCACATTCCTCTCCTTCCCTTCTTCCCTCACACTCTCAACCCCAGGACCTTAAAGACATTTAAATGTTAGCAAGGAATGGGTTCTTTAATCCATTCTTCTTGCTAGATAAGTCACCAGCTGATCTAATAACCAATTTTCAATATGATATTAATAGAAAATAATTGACTGTATTACTAAATACACACACACATGGATTTTAATAGAAGCCTTCTTCTTTTTTTAAGTTAGATTACAAGTCGTGTGTGTGTGTGTGTGTGTGTGTGTGTGTGTGTATTGAATTTAGAGGGAGAGAAAGGGGGAGGGAGAGAGAGAGAAAGAAAAACATCGATTGTTGCCTCCTGTATGCACCCTAACCTCACTCGGACACAGGGACTGAACCTACAACCTGGGTATGTGCCCTGATCAGGAATCGAACCAGCAAACCTTTCCATGCACACTCAACCAACTGAGCCACACCGGCCAGGGCAAGCCTTCAGTTGCTTATCCCAAGTATATGAATGATTAATGTAAGAATTTCAGGCAATTTGACTGCCTGTTTAAAGAAAAGAGAAGGCAGAGCATTATTTTGAGGAAAATAGGACCTTTTGGTATCCGTGGGGGAAACTACATAATTAATTGCTTAATTTGTTCAATGACCTCATTAGAATGTTGCTATTATATGATTTCTGGGCCAGAGGTTTACAGATTTGCATTTCATGTCACCATTTCTGACTCAGCATTGAGCAAAATCATAGGAAAGGATTATAAAAGGTATATTCACTACATGAGCATAACACTGCAAGAGTCAGTTTCAGTTAAAAGGTCAAACCAACATTTTCCTTTTTTTTACATTTTTTTATTGATTTTAGAAAGAGAGGGAGGGAGAGAGAAACATCAATGTGAGATGGCCTGCCTCCTTCATGCCCCTAAGAGCCCCAACCTTGGCATGGCCTGACCTGTCCAACGACCCTTCTGTGTACCGGACAGCACCCAACCAACGGGGCCATTTGGCCAGCGTGGCAGCAACATTTTTATACTTAACTACTCTACATAATAATATTGATTATTCCATCATCTATTTTCATAGTATTTTACATTTTTCAAGACATTTTACTTGATCTTCACAACAGCATTGTGAGGTAGATTAGGCAACCGTTTTACAGTTGCGTAAACTGCTCCTAAGATATTTGTTCAAGGTGACACAACAATTAGTGTTGGGACACCAGATATTGTGATTCCTCCTCTAATATATTAGCACTGCTTCATGCTGTTTTATTGCTGTGGATATGAAAAACACTGTAAATGTGTCTAGAGACTTTTATTAGAATTTTTTTTTTTGGTAAAACGATGTTCATATCGAAAAAAGAAACTTTAAAATACACTGAAATTTTTTTTAAATGTTATAATCAACCACAATAAAAAATGACTCCTGTAGACATTTTATTTTATACCATTTAGAGTCGAGTCCTCCTATAGCGGCATATGACTAGACATAATTTTAACCGTATCAGTCTGCATCCTGCCCTTTTCACGTTGCTGTGGAACATACGCTCTTGTCTGTGAAAGAGCCTGAGCATCTTTCTAACCCTTACACGATGCTCCCTGTTGTCTTGATGTAATTAAGGAACATCCTACTGGTTGTCATTTAAATTGCTTCCTTTTTACTGTTTTCCTGAGAGGTCTGTTTTGTGGGGGTATTTTTTTCATTCATCTTTCCACTTCTATCCATTTTACCTTGTATCCTAGAATTAGAGCCGCTTGGTTCAAGAATATGGATGTTTTCAGAACCTTTGATGTCTCTAAAACTGGCCCCCAGGGAGGTAGTGACAATATACTATGGTGCCACGTTAGCACATGAGAGGCCCCTTCCTCAGTGTCCCATCAGCACTGAACATCCTGTTTTGTTTTTCATCATTGCTTGTCAAATAAGTGAAAAGTGCTATGGACTGATTTTGTAAAAAATAAAGTTTTTTTGAATATATTTTTATTGATTTTAGGAAAGGAGAGGGAGAGATAGAAGCATCAATGATGAGAGCAAATCACCGATCATCTGCCTCCTGCACGCCCCTTACTGGGGATCGAGCCAAAAACCCGGGCATGTGCCTTGACTGGGAATCGAACCATGACCTCCTGATTCATACATTGACTAAAGTCAATCAGTGAGCTACGCTGGCCAGGCTAACAAAAAGTTTTTTTTAACATCTCTTGACATGTTCATATAATTTTTCTCATATGAACAAGTGAGAATAAATATATTGCCAAGGTCCCTTCTTTATATTCCCAAGATAAACTTTACTTAGTCATATAATATTATGCTTTGAATAAATAACTTGTTTTGATTTGTTAATTTATTAGGGTTTTTGCATTTATATATTTAAGAATATTATAGAGGTATTGCTCTTTTATTAATTGGATATATTTTCCTGTCTTATGTGATTTTGTTCAATGCTGAAATAGAAATGATGACATGTAATGCAAATCTATAAACCTCTGGCACAGAAATCATATAATATATAGCAAAACTCTACCCAGGCCAATGAACAGGTTAGCAATTAATTATGTAGTTTCCCCTAATGGACACCATTCTTACTAAAATGAGGTGGAATGACTGAAAGCTAAAATGAAAATCTCCTAGAGAGCCAAATAAAAAGACAAGTAATTTTAAAATATAGAAAAGATAAGAATCATTTCAAGAGGTGTGAATCTGATTAAGAGTTTCAGTGAGACAGGCAGGGAAAACAGATACAAGAAAATTATTCAGGAAATAATATAATGTCCCTGGCCAGTATGGCTCAAGGGGATGTTGTCCTGTGCACCAAAAGGATGCCAGCTTGGTTACCGGTCAGGTACCTGCCAGGTTGCAGGTTCAATCACTAAACAGGGGGTGAGCAGGAGTCAGTCGATCAATATTTCACTCTCACATCACTGTTTTTCTCTCCCTCTCCCTTCCTCTCTCTAAAATCAATAAAAAGTATTTTTAAAATAAATTAAATAAATAATATAGTGAAGTTTTTGAGGCAGGAACACCTGAGAACAAATTCTAAGAACCTTCCAAGTCAAGTAGGATACATGGAAAAGGTGCTAGAAAAATGTATCAACACTGAGGCTACGTAGATCTTTAAAGCTTCTAGAGAGAAGATACCTCCAAAGAAGGCAAATCATAGTGACATCAGATTGCTCAGCAGCAAGGAGAAAAGGAATAATGTCTTAATAGTTCTGAAGGGAAATGGTTCTGAATCTAGAACAGACCAAGAGTGATGGTAAAGACATGGGACAAAGACTCATAGTCTTTCTTAAAATGTCTCCTGAGATTAAAGTGCAGCAAAAGAGAAAAATAAGTTAAAAGGAAAAGGAAAAATACATGGATACCAAGCACTCTATGCCCAATAGACAGAAACTCCGAGACTCCACAGTAAGATAGCCAACCACTAGCACAGTAAGTCCATGGTGAAATACAAGAATGAAGGACTATGTGAGAACAACCCTGGGAGACACGAAGATTTTATATACTAGATAATATGGCTGAGAACTTGAAAAATGTTTTATATATGAAAAAAGCCAACTACAAACTCCATAAACAACAGAAAACTATACCAAAAAAAAAAAACCAAAAACAGCGTAGTCCAAATTTAAGTACACTAAAAAGTAGAGCAAAAAATTTGATAGTGAGAACATTCTCTTTTGAACAACACGAGAAATGTGCTCACAGCATAGTACTTGTCTCTAAGGTGAATAATGTTGTTCAGATCATAATTATATAAGACCTTATATTATGACTTTTATTTCAAATATTTTATGTATTTTCAGAAGATTTTTCAATTTTTAAAAAATTGTGTAAGACTAAAACAAGTTGTTCACCAAAATATGTTCTTTCCTTGTCCAGTACGAGATTTGTAGTCAAGCACATATTTGCCCAGCAACACTGCACTTGCAAGCACTGCCCTCACCCCCAAGCTCTGTTGTGGCCAGAGGAGCATGATTGAAGTGTTGTGTGTTCATAGGAGCTCTTACTTACTTTTCCTTACCTCTAAGCTGGAATACCTGCAACCAAAAACAGCTGCCCTAAAGGATGGTGGAGAAGCATGATGGAGAGAACCTACATGCATGGAGTAAAAGAAAAACTGTAGATAGTGACAAATGCTATGAAGAAAAATAAAGCAACAGAATACGAGGTTAGAAACTGAAGGGAGTTGCATTTTTTAAAAGTGTTCCAAAAAGAGTCCTCTCAGAGGGGATGCAAAGTCAGAGCAAGTTTGAGAAAGAGCGTTATAAGTAGAGGAAACAGCCCTTACTCTGGCTTTGAGGTAAGAGCATGCTTGGATGCACACAGTCCAGCAAAGCTGTCAGTGTGACTGGTAAGGAGTGCGTAGGAGGGGATTACAGATGAGACCAACGGGAGTGGAGGACCAGACCGTATTTAGGACCTCATTGGCCAAAATAAAGATGTTGGATTTTGTTCTGAGTGAGATGGGAACGCATTGGAAGATTTGGAGCAAAGGGGAGTGCAAGATCTAAAAGAGTCATTCTGGCTGCTTTGTGAAGAAGGCACCATGGAAGGGAAAGTGTGGAAGCAGAAAGACAGGCCAAATAAGAGACTCCTTTAGTTGTCTATGCAA